TTCCCTTCACACCCATTTTCCTGTGGTACGTCAGTAATCTCCTTCATGTCCTACTTTGCTGTGTGATGGCTCTGTATGGACCACTCCTCAGCATAACTGACATGTTTCACTTCAGCAGTGCCTGCGCTTTTGTCCTTGACAAAGTATAGATGCAGACCCATTGCAAACACTGCCTACCAGAAGTCATTCGTCAGTGCTCAAAGGCCATGGAATTGTTTTAGGTGGATAGATGCACTCATGACCCCTGATTTTATGCTGGACCTGCCAACTATACTACATGTGATGTCACTCTGACTTGAAGTGGATCTTAAATGATGCTGAGTTTAGTATTATTTTACTTTAGAGCAATCACCTGTAAAAGTTGATCAGAAGAAGGAAGGACTGAGGTGAGACCGTTGTACGCGGGTACGAGCCATGCCGATACCTCGGTAGGAAAGCACGGACAACATCGGAACATGGTACAAGCCTATTCTACTGGAGCAGCAAAGCGAAGAACTGCTGTGGAAGAAGATGGACCGCACTGGCCGTGCCAGCATCGATGAAGTAATCTCCAACCTCAGTTGAATTTTCCTCATTATAATGTCATTATAATACAAAAACACACCTCCTGGTAAGAAGCTACCCGCCTCCGAAGCTGACCACGCTTCAGACACTCCTCTACAGGCATGCGTGGAAGCCTTACTCCAGACAGGCGGAGATTGGCACCTTTCCAAGGGACAAAGGTGGAGTGGAGGTGGGTCCAAGGAGGAGTGAGGTGTGCTACCTAGCATAAAAGACGGTTCCTCAACAACTGATCTCCTGAAGATCTTCCCCACCAAAAGACCACGACGGTCGATGAGGAAGCAGTGGAACGCCTTCTGGATTCCGGACCATTGGGACACCTGTGGACCCGTGGTGGTAGCTATAATCCTCTTTCCCCCCTTTTTTACTTCATCTTTCCTATTCTTGTTTCTTTCTATCGCAAGCCGCTTTACGGGCAAAACCAATAAAGTGATTGTGTGTTGAAAGCATAACTCCCTGGGCCTGATGCCATTTCTTTTTGTGCTTCGAGATCACAGCTGAAATGAACCATCACGTGTCCACCGAGGAGTGGACCGTGACATCGCCCCATAATTCCTTAAGTGTCATATTCTCAACCATGGCTTAATTCATTTCATGGAGCTTTGGGATCAATAGCTTTAAATGTAGGAAATATCAGAACCTCAGTAATACATGTGCTTCAGAATGAATTAATTACAGAAAAAAATACGTCAAGCTGCCAAGTCACATCTAAAATACCCCAGAACAAAACGACCCATAGAAATATATCTAGATATTAACTGAAACACTCCAGCTGTAACTCCTGGACCAGGCCATGAAGGTCGTTAACTATTTTTCTCTAATGTTTTCTTCCTTTCAAATGCTTGAGCTGATTCTCTGTCCAGGCTTGAGTGTCTAGAATTCCTATTCACAATCCTTTTCGTGCAAGAAACTACACTGTG